CCCAGGAATGCCCAAAAATTACCTGGGATCCTCCAAAAAATGACCTGGGATCCCCCAGAATAACATGGGAACACCCTGGAATAGCCCAGGACTGCCCCCAAATCTCCTGAGATCCCCCAGGAATGACCTGGGATCCCCAAAAATGACCTGGGATCCCCAAAAATGACCTGGGAACACCCTGGAATAGCCCAGGAATACCCCAAAATCTCCTGGGATCCCCCAAAAAATGACCTGGGAACACCCTGGAATAGCCCAGGAATACCCCAAAGTTACCTGGAACACCCAAAAGTGATTTGGGATCCCCCAAAAATGACCTGGGATCCCCCAAAATAACATGGGGACACCCTGGAATGTCCCAGGACTGCCCCAAAATCTCCTGGGATCCCCCAGAAATGACCTGGGAACGCCCCAGAATTGCCTGGGGACCCCCAAAAAACAACCTGGGATCCCCCAAAAATGATGTGAGATCCCCAAAAATGACCTGGGATCCCCAAGAAATGACCTGGGATCCCCCAAAAATGACCTGGGATCCCCCCAAAAATGACCTGGGATCCCCCAGAAGGGGTTTTTTTTTTGGGGAGGGGGTTGGAGGATCCCGGATTTGGGGGATTCAGGGGCGGCTCCCGCAGGGCAAGGGCGTGGGCGGCGCTCGGAAGAAGCTGGAGGCGACCGTGCTGGAGGAGCGGGACAAGCCCTACGCCTGCGACAGTGAGTGCCACGGGATGGGAATGATGGGATGGGGATCTGGGAATGCTGGGAATGACGGGATGGGGACCTGGGAATGATGGGAATGACGGGATGGGGATCTGGGAATGACGGGATGGGGACCTGGGAATGACGGGATGGGGTCTGGGAATGACGGGAGGGGATCTGGGAATGCCGAGATGGGCTCTGGGAACCCCGGGATGGGCTCTGGGAATGCTGGGATCGGCTCCTGGGAATGCCGGGAGGGGATCTGGGAATGTCGGGAGGGGCTCCTGGGAACCCCAGGAATGCTGGGATGGGATCTGGGAACACCGGGATGGGATCTGGGAATGCTGGGAATGCCGGGAGGGGATCTGGGAATGCCGGGATGGGCTCTGGGAATGCCGGGATGGGCTCCTGGGAATGTTGGGATGGGCTCCTGGGAGGGCCAGGAATGCCAGGATCGGCTCCTGGGAATGCCGGAATCGGCTCCTGGGAATGCCGGGATGGGCTCTGGGAACCCTGGGAGGGCCAGGAATGCTGGGATGGGCTCCTGGGAATGCTGGGACGGGCTCTGGGAATGCCGGGACGGGCTCCTGGGAGGGCCAGGAATGTTGGGATGGGCTCCTGGGAATGCCGGGATGGGCTCTGGGAATGCTGGGATGGGCTCTGGGAATGCCGGGATGGGATCTGGGAATGCCAGGATGGGCTCCTGGGAGGGCCAGGAATGCTGGGGTGGGCTCTGGGAACACCGGGATGGGCTCCTGGGAGGGCCAGGAATGCCGGGATGGGATCTGGGAATGCTGGGAATGCCGGGATCGGCTCCCAGGAACCCCGGGGGGGGCATTCCCACCTTCGGGAAGGGGGAAGGGGGCGGAGCTTCCCAAGGCCAAAGGATGGGATTGCCAAGGCCAAAGAATGGCATTCCCAAGGGATGGCATTCCCAAGGGATGGCATTCCCAAGGATGGCATTCCCAAGGATGCCATTCCCAAGGGCTGGCATTCCCAAGGATGGCATTCCCAAGGGTGGCATTCCCAAGGGATGGCATTCCCAAGGATGGCATTCCCAAGGTTGGCATTCCCAAGGCCAAACCTCCCCCTGGGTCCCTCAGGGCGGTCGCTGCTTCCCCTTCCTGTTCCTGCGAGGCGGGAAAAGGGGAGGAAACCCCTCCCCCTCCTCCCCCTATCCCCCAAATCCCCCAAATCCAGGAGTTTTTTGGGAATCCCCAGCACGGAAAAGGCTTTGCCAGCACCTTTCTGTCTTCTTCCTGCTGTCCTGCCAGCCTGAAACCCCCTCCCCAAAAACCCCCCCTGGGTGTGCCTGTCCCGCCCTTCCCTGCATGGGCCCTGTCCCTGTTCCGTGTTCTGTGTCTGTGTCCATGTTCCGTGTCCCTGTTCCGTGTCCGTGTCCGTGTTCCATGTCTGTGTCTGTGTCCTGTGTCCATGTCCATGTTCCCATATTCTGTGTCCATGTTCCATGTCCATCTTCATGTTCTGTGTCCATGTTCCATGTCCATGTCCATGTTCTGTGTCTGTGTCCGTGTCCGTGTTCCATGTTCCATGGTCTGTGTCCATCTTCATGTTCCGTGTCCCTGTTCCATGTTCCATGGTCTGTGTCTGTGTCCATGTCCATGTTCCTTGTCTGTGTCCATGTCCGTGTTCATGTTCCATGTCCATCTTCATGTTCCGTGTTCCATGTCCCTGTTCTGTGTCCGTGTTCCATGTCCGTGTTCCATGTCCATGTTCCATGTTCCATGGTCTGTGTCAGTGTCCGTGTCTGTGTTCTGTGTCCGTGTTCCATGTCCATGTTCCCTGTTCCATGTCCCTGTTCCGTGTCCCTGTTCCGTGTCCCTGTTCCATGTCCCATGTTCCATGTTCCCTGTTCCATGTTCCATGTCCCTGTTTCATGTCCCTGTTCCATGTCCCTGTTCCATGTCCCGTGTCCGTGTTCCATGTCCCCTGTTTCATGTCCCTGTTCCATGTCCCTGGTCCATGTCCATGTCCATATTCCGTGTCCATGTTCCATGTTCTGTGTCCCTGTTCCCTCTTCCTTGTTCCCTGTTCCATGTCCCTGTTCCTTGTCCATGTCCCTGTTCCATGTCCATGTTCCGTGTCCCTGTTCCGTGTCCGTGTTCTGTGTCCCTGTTCCATGTCCCTGTTCCATGTCCCTGTTCCATGTCCATGTCCATGTTCCATGTCCATATTCCATGTTCCATGTCCCTGTTCCATGTCCCTGTTCCCTGCCCATATTCCATGTTCCTTGTTCCATGTTCCATGTTCCCTGTCCCATGTTCCGTGTCCGTGTTCCGTGTCCTCTCACGACTTCTCTTTCTGTGTTTCAGACAGTTACAAACAAAAGCATTCCTTGAAACCTCCCGACCGAGGTAGCTCCTTCCTTTCTTCCTTCCTTCCTTTCTCTCTCTATTTTTCTCTCTCTGTTTTTCTCTCTCTTTCTTTTATTTCCTTTTCCTGCTTTTTTTTCCTTTCCCTCAGTTCTGGAGCCTTTTTTTTTGTATTTTGGGGGAATTTGGGGTTTTGGGGTTTTGTGGGGGTGAATTTGGGGTTTTGGGGTTGTTTTGGGGGTTTTTGGGGAGTGAATTTGGGAGGTTTTTGGGAGGAATTTGCGTTTTTGGGGGTTTTGGGGGTTGTTTGGGGGTTAGGGAATTTTTGGGGGTTTTTGGGGGTTTTTGGGGGGGTTTTTGGGGGTTTGGGTTTTTTTGGGGGGGGCATTGGGGTTTTTTCGGGGTGTTTTTTGGGTGTTTTTTGGAGTTGTTTTGGTGGGTTTTTTGGGGTTGTTTTTGGAGTGTTTCTTGGGGGATTGTTTTGAGGTTGTTTTGGGGCTTTTTTTGGGGTTGTTTTGAGGGTTTTGGGTTTTTTTTTTTCGTTATTATTGTGCCTGTGGGATTTTTCCACCCCGAGTCCTTTCCCTGGGGTTTGTTTTGGGGGTTTTTTTGGGGATTTTTTTGGGGTTTTTTTGGGGTTGTTTTGAGGTTTTTTTGTTTTTTGTTTTTTTTTTTTCATTATTATTGTGCCTGTGGGATTTTTCCACCCCGAGTCCTTTCCCTGGGGGTTGTTTTGGGATTTTTGGGGTTGTTTTTTGGAGTGTTTTTTGGGGGGTTGTTTTGAGGTTGTTTGGGGGTTTTTTGGGGGTTTTTTGGGGGGTTTTTGGGGTTGTTTTGAGGGTTTTTTTGGTGTTTTTTTTCGTTATTATTGTGCCTGTGGGATTTTTCCACCCCGAGTCCTTTCCCTGGGGGTTGGATCCGATCCCGGGGTGGGGAAGGGGGGGAGGGCAGAGCCAAAGGCCACGGCTGAGACGTCAGCTCCGACCCCTTTTCCAGCAGGGAATGTGGCCCAGAGAGCCAGGAAAACAAAGATTAAAATCCCCACCACCTCCCACCTGCAGTGCCCGGGAGGGGGGTTGGGAAAAAAAACAGTGGGAAAAAAAACACTGGGAAAAAAACACTGGGAAAAAAAAACCCCACGACGTGTCCAGCCCCAGATCCCGGGAGGTGCCCCCAACTCCTCCCTACTGACCCCTCCCTTAGAATTCCCAAGGTTTTTTTGACCCAAAATTCAGTCCCTGCTACCACCCCCCTTCCCCCCAGAATTCCCAAGGATTTTTTTGCCCAAAATTTGGGATGGATGCATTGGGAGGGGTCGTTCCCGGTCCAGGGGTGGGAGGAACCCAGGGTGGAGTTTGGATTTTGGGATGTTTTCCCCTAAAAGGGCAGGGAGGATCCCACAGATTCCCCCCTCCCTTGGATCCTGAGGGCATTTCTGGACTTTTCATCCCAAAAATCCTTGGAGGGAGGGGCCAGCATTGGCACCAACCCCTCCTGGAACGTTCATATCCCGTTTTTCCCAGATCCAGATTCCCAGATCCCATCGATTTTTGAGGAAAATCAATGACCCCAGGGTGGGAATTCCAGCCCTGGTTGGGGGTTGGGAGAGGCTTCCCCACCTTCCAGGGGAAAAATTCCACGCCTTTCAATCAGGAAAAACCTCCAGATTTGGGAAATCCCCTCCCCCTTTCCCCAGGAACAAAACTCTCTTCCCAGATTCCATAAAAAGTGCAGGGGGGAGAACCTGGCCGTGAATCTGCCCTAAAAAACCCCCCCAGCTGTGATTTTTTGGGATTTCTATCCTGATTCCATCCAGGAGGGGAATCTGAGGGTTTTTCCTGGTTTTTTCCCCCACAGTTTGTGGGAAGCGCTACAAGAACCGACCAGGGCTGAGCTACCCCTGCACCCACTCCCACCTGGCTGTGAATCTTCCCCAAAAAACCCCCCCAGCTGTGATTTTTTGGGATTTCCATCCAGGAGGGGGATCTGAGGGTTCTCCTGGGTTTTTTTCCCCCCACAGTTTGTGGGAAGCGCTACAAGAACCGACCAGGGCTGAGCTACCCCTGCACCCCCTCCCACCTGGCCGTGAATCTGCCCTAAAAAACCCCCTAACTGTGATTTTTGGGGATTTCCATCCATCCAGGAGGGGAATCTGAGGGTTCTCCTGGGTTTTTTCCCCACAGTTTGTGGGAAGCGCTACAAGAACCGGCTGGGGCTGAGCTGCCACTGCCCCCACTCCCACCTGGCCGTGAATCTGCCCTAAAAAACCCCCCCTAGGTGTGATTTTTTGGGATTTCCATCCATCCAGGAGGGGGATCTGAGGGTTTTCCTGGTTTTTTCAGTTTGTGGGAAGCGCTACAAGAACCGACCAGGGCTGAGCTACCCCTGCACCCCCTCCCACCTGGCCGTGAATCTGCCCCAAAAAACCCCCCACCAACCCTGATTTTTTGGGATTTGCATCCATCCAGGAGGGGAATCTGAGGTTTTTCCCGGGTTTTTTCCCCCCACAGTTTGTGGGAAGCGCTACAAGAACCGGCCAGGGCTGAGCTACCCCTGCCCCCACTCCCACCTGGCCGTGAATCTTCCCCAAAAAACCCCCCACCAACCCTGATTTTTTAGGATTTCTATCCTGATTCCTGATTTTTTGGGATTTCCATCCATCCAGGAGGGGAATCTGAGGGTTCTCCTGGTTTTTTTCCCCCCACAGTTTGTGGGAAGCGCTACAAGAACCGACCAGGGCTGAGCTACCACTGCACCCCCTCCCACCTGGCCGTGAATCTTCCCCAAAAAACCCCCCACCTACCCTGATTTTTTGGGATTTCTATCCTGATTCCTGATTTTTTGGGATTTGCATCCATCCAGGAGAGGAATCTGAGGTTTTTTCCTGGGTTTTTTCCCCCCACAGTTTGTGGGAAGCGCTACAAGAACCGACCAGGGCTGAGCTACCCCTGCACCCACTCCCACCTGGCCATGAATCTACCCTAAAAAACCACCCCCACCAAACCCAGCTGTGATTTTTTGGGATTTTCATCCATCCAGGAGGGGAATCTGAGGGTTTTCCTGGTTTTTTCAGTTTGTGGGAAGCGCTACAAGAACCGGCCAGGGCTGGGCTACCACTATGCCCACTCCCACCTGGCCGTGAATCTGCCCTAAAAAACCCCCCAGCTCTGATTTTTTGGGATTTCTATCCTGATTCCTGATTTTTTGGGATTTCCATCCATCCAGGAGGGGGATCTGAGGGTTCTCCTGGTTTTTTCAGTTTGTGGGAAGCGCTACAAGAACCGGCCAGGGCTGAGCTACCACTGCACCCCCTCCCACCTGGCTGTGAATCTGCCCTAAAAAACCCCCCAGCTCGCCCTGATTTTTTGGGATTTCTATCCTGATTCCTGATTTTTTGGGATTTCCATCCATCCAGGAGGGGAATCTGAGGGTTCTCCTGGTTTTTTCCACAGTTTGTGGGAAGCGCTACAAGAACCGGCCAGGGCTGAGCTACCACTGCACCCACTCCCACCTGGCCGTGAATCTACCCTAAAAAACCACCCCCCACCAACCCCAGCTGTGATTTTTTGGGATTTCTATCCTGATTCCATCCAGGAGGGGAATCTGAGGGTTTTTTGGGTTTTTTTCCCCCACAGTTTGTGGGAAGCGCTACAAGAACCGACCAGGGCTGAGCTATCACTGCACCCCCTCCCACCTGACCATGAATCTGCCCCAAAAAACCCCCCACCAACCCTGATTTTTTGGGATTTCTATCCTGATTCCATCCAGGAGAGGAATCTGAGGGTTTTCCTGGTTTTTTCCCCCCCACAGTTTGTGGGAAGCGCTACAAGAACCGGCCAGGGCTGAGCTATCACTACGCCCACTCCCACCTGGCTGAGGAGGAGGGGGACGACAAGGACGACTCCCAGCCCCCCACGCCCGTGGCCCAGCGCTCCGAGGAGCACAAGTGTAAGGCCATTCCCGGGAATTCCCACCAGGAGGAGGTTGGGAAGCGGAGGGGGACCCACCCGGGGGTGTCGTGGGTGCAAAGTCATCCCAAAGGTCCCGAAGATTCCACGGCTTTCTGAGGTTCCCAAACTCCCCCCCCAGCTCCCAGAGATTCCATAGAACTTACATCCCAAGATTCCCATAGACTTCCAACCCCCACAGCTCCCAAAGATTCCATGACTTCCACAACAATTCCCAAACTCCCCCCACAGCTCCCAAAGATTCCATGACTTTCTCAATTCCCAAATCCCTCCACAGCTCCCAAAGATTCCATAGAACTTCCTGAACTTCCACAACAGTTTCCAAACTCTTAAAACTCCCAGAAATTATCCCACACCTTCCACAACTTCCCAAACTCCCCACAAGCTCCCAGAGATTCCATAGAACTTCCCAAACTCCCCACAGCTTCCATAGATCTCCCACAGCTTCCAATTCCCAAACCTCCAGAATCTCCAAGCTTCCATAGAACTTCCCCACAATTTCCACTAACACTCCCACGAACTCCCACAAATTCCATAGCCTCCACGATTCCCTCCCCTTCCCTTCCCTTCCCTTCCCTTCCCTTCCCTTCCTTCCTTCCCTTCCCTTCCCTTCCCTTCCTTCCCTTCCCTTCCTTCCCTTCCCTTCCCTTCCTCTTCCCTTCCCTTCCCTTCCCTTCCCTTCCCTTCCCTTCCCTTCCCCCCCCTTCCCTTCCCTTCCCAGGGTGGGATTTGCTGCCCTGGGGGGGGGGGGTTGGGGGATTTTCCCGCTGATCCCGAGGGTTCCTGTCCCTCTTTTCCAGCCAAGAAGGGCCCGGACGGGCTGGCCCTTCCCAACAATTACTGCGACTTCTGCCTGGGGGACTCCAAGATCAACAAGAAGACCGGGCAGCCCGAGGAGCTCGTGTCCTGCTCCGACTGCGGGAGGTCAGGTGGGCGCCGCTCCCGGCGGGATCCCGGCAGGATTCCGTGGGGATCCCGTGGTCCTGGGATGGTTCTGTGGTGATTTCCTGGTTCTGGGATGGTTCTGTGGTGATTCCCTGGTCCTGGGATGGTTCTGTGGTGATTTCCTGGTTCTGGGAGGATTCCGTGGTGATTCCCTGGTCCTGGGATGGTTCTGTGGTGATTTCCCTGGTCCTGGGATGGTTCTGTGACCATTCCCTGGTCCTGGGATGGTTCTGTGACCATTCCATGGTGATTCCCTGGTTCTGGGATGGTTCTGTGACCATTCCCTGGTTCTGGGATGGTTCTGTGACCATTCCCTGGTTCTGGGATGGTTCTGTGGTGATTCCCTGGTCCTGGGATGGTTCTGTGGTGATTCCCTGGTCATTCCCTGGTTCTGGGATGGTTCTGTGGTGATTCCCTGGTTCTGGGATGGTTCTGTGGTGA